TCGGAGCGAGCGCCCGCCGCGCCCGGCTCCCTCGGCTGCCGGCGTCCCGCGCCCCTGCCCGCGCCCGCCGCCGCCGCCGCCGCCGCCGCCGCCCGGCCCGAGCATGGAGACGGCGGAGAAGGAGTGCGGCGCCCTGGGCGGGCTCTTCCAGGCCATCGTCAACGACATGAAGGTAACGGGGTGCGGCGGGGCCGGCTGCCCGGCGGGAGCGCGGGTGCGGGTGCGGGTCCTCTCTGGGGACGAGTGGCGGCGGGCATTGGGGCCCCGCTGTGTGCGCGCGCCGCGCTGTGTGTGTGTGTCCTTGTCCGAACGCGTCCGGCCTGCGTCTGCTGTGTTGCCTGGGTCTCGGGGTGCCCGTCTTGGGGGGTGTGGGTGTTCGTATGTCGGGGTGTCCGTGCGGCGCCCGGGGTCGCTAGGTCGTAGCGCCCCCGTGGGGTCCCGACCGGAGCCTGCTTACACGCGGGCTCCCTGCGCCCCCGACCCCCAAATCATGAATGGGGTTTGGCTCCGGTGTCGGCTCCACGGCCCTAAATTTGATGGGTCCTGGGTCTCGCCGGCCTCCGCCCCCTACCACCACCGTGCACCCTGCGCCCCCCAACTAGCACCCCCCCACCCCCCACGGCCCTGGAGCCCAGACAATGCTGTCACGGCCAAAGCAGGGGAAAATAATAAAGCGGAGAGGCATTAACTCCTTCCCCGCCGGCCTCGGCCTCTGTGCCCGACCCTGCGAGGCCTCGACCCTGTGACTGCTGCACACCCCCACCCCTGCCCAGGTCCCCTGAAACAGGCCCTAGGAAGCTGCAGGACTCCAAGGCCTCTAGGCTGACTGTCCCTCTGTCCTCACCTTGGAGGAAGGAAGGGAGAGGGTTGGGGTTTCTGGAGCAGCCCCAAGGGAGAACCTACTACCACCCTAGGCCTTCAGCACCAACCCCCAGCCCCCTCCCCACCTTGATTGGCCAAGGCCAGACAGGAGCAAGCCACCAACTCTTGGCCCACCACTGACTCACTCGTTGGGGAAACTGAGGCCTGGGAATGGTCAAGGTCATTAAGGAGATTGACCAACTCTGTCCCTGACCTCACCCCTCTCTGTTCATCTGGGGAGCAAGGGAGAGCCTCTCCCTAGAGAGGCCAGGGTTTGGCAGGGCCAGCCCAGGCTGACTAGGCAGAGAGGAGTTCCAGCTCCAGTGACAGGATGGGGGCCGGGAACAACGCTCCTACCTTTCTCCTCTGAGGCAGGATTGCGGGGCAGGGGAAAGAACTGGGCTCTCCCCATGAACTCCGGAGAGCCCCCACCCTATCGCACACTCCCAAGTATACAACAGAATTCCACGGTGACATCACAGGCCCAGGAGGAAACACCACACACCAGTGCTGCTGGCCCCACAGTGCCCAGGCAGGCCCTTCCGGAGGCTCCCGGTGCTGCCAGGGGAACAGCCCTAGGGGCAGCTGCCGGATCCCTGCCCCTGCAAAAGGCCTGAGGCCATCCCCACCTAGGACTGCAGGGTGAGCAGCATATAGATGCGCCCCCCCCCCCATAGGGTGCTCCCCTGAGATTTCCATCCCTTGCAACTCTCCCTCTGGGCCCCTCTGGCAGCCCTCAGGAGTCCTGGCCTCTCTCTGCCCTCAGCCGGCCCTCCTGTCCTGTGGACATCACAGCCCTGGCACTGGGATCCTTCCCTGGGACCAGGCAGTCCAGACCACCCGCCCCCAGCTACTCTCAGTGCTGGCAGAGAATGGGACTTTGCGCCCCCCTCCTCCCACTGGCAGCCTCTCTGCTCAGAGGAGAGGGACAGCACTGTCCTTCCCTCCGCAGGCATATGTGCAAGGAACTCTGAGATCAGAAGGAAAAGGGAGATATTCAGGCCGCATTTTCTGACATGTGGAGGTTTCACCTGGGGCGATGCTAAGTACCTAGGACATATACATGTGTTCAGGCCAGGGACAGAGCAGGGGACTGGGCCACCTGGATTTGGGGAGCAGCTTCTGGCTGTTTCCCTTGGTGATCTGAGCCACAGAAGCAGCGGGGCTTCCATAGAGGAAGGGGCTGAACTGGGGAGACTGAGCCTGCCCCATGAGGCCTCTCCCCAGCACGTCCACAAGCCTCACAACACCTCCGGGGGCCCAGCTGCACCTGGAGGCTGGAGGGTCGGGAGGAGGGCGCTCAGGAGCTTTCCCTGCCTCTGTGCCTCACTTAGCTCAGATGCCCACTGGGTGGGTGCGAAGCCACCCACTGAAGCTCAGGGGCAGAGGCTTGCCCAGGATGGCAGGACAGAGCAAAGCGCCTACAGTGGAGTGAAGGGGGCCTCCCCTCAGCCCTGGCCCATCCAGGAAATGGGCCCATAAACTTTGCCTATCCTCCCAAGAGTGGGGAGTGTGGCCCAGACAGGCCCTGCTGGGTGGGAGGGGCTCTCAGCAGAGAGGCAGGGATCCTGAGTCCCCCCGTTTTTTAGCCAGCATTAACTGAGCGCTTACTGTGTACTGGGCACGGTGCTAAGTGCTCCCCTTGCAGTGCCTCCTCAAGTCTCCCCACGGACCCAGTGACGTAAGTGCAGTTCCCAGCCCCATTCGACAGATGAGGAAGCTGAGGCCCAGAGTGGAGCCCCGGTCCGGGGTCACCCAGAAAGCCCTCTCTCTGGGATCACAGCCAGGACTACAACCCCCCGCCAGAGACAGAGTCTCTGAGGGCCAGGAGTCCCGAGCGCCTCTAGTGACAAGCACTGGGGACAGAGTGGGTGTTTCTCCCATCCCTGCAGTTCCTACCCCTCCTCCCCTTGCTGCCCGATGATCCTCTGTCTCTACCCTGGAGGCAGGTGTAGTGACCAATCATGGGATCAGATCTTGCCCCTGCCGTCTGGAGGCCTTGAGCAAGTCAGTTAATCTCTCTGAGCCTCAGTTTCCTGACCTGTAGAATGGGGGTGATAGTCGTATTTATTTCACGGGGCTGTGCTAAGGACCCGACGACGTGCTCATGCAGCGCAACGGGCTTCCCACGGTGCCTGGCTGCCGCGGGAGCTTGGCCATCAGCGGTCACTGCCACCCAGTCTTAAGAGCCTGACAGCCAGGGCTTAGCCAGGGTGAGGGCATGGGCCCAGGTGAACCCTGAAGACCCTCCCCTGGGACACTGGCCGCTCCGCCCCCCCCCCCCACACACACACCTCTTCATCTCCGGGTTCTGTGAATTACCTACCGGTGAGGGTGGAGCCCTGGCCCTTAGAGACCAAGGTGCTCAGGTCCCCCCTGCTGAGGAGGAACTGGGCCAGGCCTCCCCCCATGCCGTGTCTTGTCCCCTCCCCACTGGGAAAGCTGAGGGGGTGAAGGTCTGGAATGGAGTGAGCCTGGCTGGCTGGAGGCCGGGGAGGTGGGCCTCAGCCTAAGGCCTTTCGTGGGGTAGGAACTGATCTGTCCCCAGCTTCTCCTAATTCCTTGTGTTCTGAGACTGCCCAGAGGCTGCAGAGGGGCTGAGAAGGTATCCTGGGGGTCAGGACACCTGCCCCTGGGCCCCTGCCTCCTCAGCAGTGGCTCTTCTCCCTGGAGGTCTTAGCAAGGCTTCAGGGCTGGGATGTGGAGGTGATGTGAGCATGCCATCTTTCAGAAGACTCTTGGGGGTGCCAAGGTGAAGGTCAGCTCCTTGGGATTGCCAGGGACAACCTACCGGGCTCCTTTAGCCTGAACTGTGTGCACATGGAGACAGCCCACCCACAGCCTCCCCCATCCCGCTCCAGCCTGTGTGGACTTCTCAAATATTTGCTTTCCCTGGGCACTGGCTGGGCTGGGAGGGGAGGGAGTTTCTAAGGCTGTCAGAAGCTGTCCTGTCTCCTTTCCACCACTGCAGACTGTCCTCAGCTGGAGAGGCCATCTCGAACCTGCCCCTGGGTTCCAGTCTGGGAGAGCTTCCTTCTGAAGCCATTAGGGCTGGGGTCTCTGCCTTCCTTGTTTGCCTAGCACTGAGCACCCCAGCCTACATGGAAGGGTGGTTTAGAAGCCCTTCCGGGCTGGGGCTTTGCTGGCCTTGGGCTCCCCTTCAAGCATCCAGGCCTCCACAGGGCTCTCAGGCCAGGGCTGAGGTTTCTCCAGGACCCAGCCGCCATGGGAGGGCGCATTAGCCAGAAAAGCCCCTTGATCAGACTGGACAGCTTGGTCGCCAGGAGCTAAGCCTCCCCACTGGGAAACCCCCTCCCAACTCAGAGCTTTGGGCCAGGCTGGGATAAAGGCCACACTGTGTCCCCAGGAGGGGAGGGGAACTGGGGGTGGAGAAAGGTGGCTCTGTTGGCCGCACAAGGCCCCATTCAGCCTCAGGCCTGGCTGTCCCAGGCAGGCTGGCTGGGCCCTGCAGCAGTCACAGCCTCCCCGGGCCTGGGAGCCACTGCTGCTGGCCTGGGATGGATGGGTGTCCGGGCTGGTCACAGCTTCCGGGGCCCAGGGTGGGGGCCCCCAGAGGCCTGAATTTGAGACCTGGCCTGCCTGAGCCCTGCCATTTACTGTTTCCATCCCCCCTGAGGGAGGATGTGGGCCAAAACGGTGGCCACCGTAGACAGTTGTCCAGACTTCCTCACTGTCAGGGAGGGAGGGATGAGCAAAGGCACCTGTTCCCAGGGCCAGGCCTTCTTCAATCCCCATGGCTCTGTCCTTGGTCCTCTGTCGTCCCAGAAGGCCCAGGAGCCTCCCTCTCCATGGGGGCAGGGCCACTCCCTCAGAAACTGCCCAGAATCTGGACGGAGGCATGTGGGGAGCCCAGCCCAGGTGGAGCCTTCCAGCCTCCAGGATCTCATTACCTCTCCGTCTCCTCGGCAGAGCTCCTACCCCATCTGGGAGGACTTCAACTCCAAGGCCACGAAACTGCATTCCCAGCTGAGGTGAGGCTGCTGAGGGCCCTAGCTGGGGAGGGGACGGGCAGAGGAGAGGACACCTCACCCACAGACCGTCCCACTGTCCATCTCCCCAGGACCACTGTGCTGGCTGCTGTGGCCTTCTTGGATGCCTTCCAGAAAGTGGCAGACATGGCCACCAACACCCGAGGTGGGGAGGGGGCGTGGCTGGAGGTTGGGTATGCCCCAGGTGGGGCTCGGAGGCTGGAAAGGCTGAGCGGAGTGTGAGCCAGGGAGAGGACACTGGGCCCAGAGTTGGGACCCTGAATTCTGTTCCCTAATGGAATCGGCTGGTGGTCGAGAGAGTGAGCCTCTTATCGCTAGTGGCATGCAAGCCGGAGTGGGTGAATGGTGACAGGGATGTTACGGCGGGGGTTCCGTTCTTGCTGTGGGCGGCCAGCTAGCTCCATCCCTCAGCCACAGTTGTCCAGCCTTATCTGCAGTGCGTCCGACCGCGGCTGCTTCTCACCCCCTCTCCTCCGCCCGTCTGAGCGCACGCAGGGGCAGGCAAGCCCCTATTGGCCTTGGCGTCTCCTCTGCCTTCTAGTTCAAATAGCAAGGACTGGGGCCCCTGAGAACAAGGTAGCGGGCGCTTGTTCGCACTCACGCCTGCCTCGGAGCACCTGGAGGGGCTTACTGTCAGGGCTGGAGGGGATTTGGGCCGGCCCTTTGGACGGTCTCTCGAGCCGGCCTGACCACCAGAACGCCCGCAGGTGCAGCGGGCGGGCACGGCCGGGATGCGCAGGCCCTTAGTCCGGCACAGAGCAGACTCGCCGCAAATACTGAGAACAGATCAAATCCCCGCCCCCGCCCCGCACAGATCGCGGGATCGCGCAATGCTGGGGGCGGGGCGCGGGCTGCGAGCGGCGGCCTTCGCGGGCCGGCGCGCCCCCTCGTGGCCGAGGCTGGGACTGTCCGTCGGGGCCCCTTCCCACGCTGCGCGCTTGCCTCGCCAGGGGCCACACGGGACATTGGTTCGGCGCTCACGCGCATGTGCATGCGCCACCGCAGCATCGAGACCAAGCTGCGGCAGTTCACCAAGTGAGTGGGGGCCGCGGGCGTTAGGCGGGCGGCGGGTGCGGGTGACCCAGGGAGACCCCGCTGGTGGCCCTGACCCTCCCGCCCCGCCCGCAGCGCGCTGCTGGAGAGCCTCATCAACCCGCTGCAGGAGCGCATCGAGGACTGGAAGAAGTCGGCCAACCAGCTGGACAAGGACCACGCAAAAGGTAGGCCCTGGGCTCGGGCCGGGGCTTCCTGTCCCCATTGTGCAGAGCCCCCCCCCCCCCATCATAGCACTCCTCTCTCACCCCGTGCACAGAGTACAAACGAGCCCGGCATGAGATCAAGAAAAAGTCTTCAGACACGCTGAAGCTGCAGAAGAAAGCACGCAAAGGTAGAGCCCACAGTGGCCCGTGGAAGCGTAGCCCCACGGGGCCCCACTCCGTATGCCCCACACCCTAGGGAGCGCCCCAGGGCGTCATCCGGGCTGGAGGGGCCCTATCCTGGACACAGGACCCTCCAACCTGCCGGGCGGGACAGAGGGAGCCTCCCTGCACCCGACACCGGGCCCAGACCCTCCCCTCTCAGGGAGGCAGCAGGAGGCCCAACAGGCCCAGGCACCCACACCCCTGCCCCAGGAGAGGCTCTTTCCATCCGGCTGTCTTTCACACATTCTTTCTTTCTCTGTCTCTCCTCCTCTCCTCCCCCCACATCCTGTAGAGCTACTTGGTAAGTCAAGTGTCCGTCCTCCAGCTGCTCCTCCCGTCCTCGGCCCACCTGTCTGTCTCCCCCAGCTCAGGGCCATTGGAAGGAGCCTCTCCAGGCCAAGGAGGAGCGAGGAAGGCGGTCGGCCCAGCGAGGGAGGGGCCCGGGGCACAGTCCCCTGGGGCCCTGGGGGCCCCTGGCCAGGGATGAGTCCCAGGCCACTGCTGGGTCAGCCGGCCAGGCCGAGAGGGGTTGGAGCGGGCAGGGTGGGGGGCACAGGCCCTGGCTGTCCCGCTCCCACCGGGCCTGCCCGGTCCCCTGCCGCCTTCTCAGGCCCCGGCTCACCGTCTCCACATCATTCCCTCGCCTCTCTCTTGTCTCTCTCTCGCTGCTTCTTCGTGTCGCTGTTGCTGTCCTTGCGCATCACTCCCTGAGCTGAGTGGGAGCCCACACTGAGACTGCCCCCTTCCCTTCCCCCCGGGGCCCAGCCCCTAGCTCTCCTGACCCCCACACCCTCAGTGGCCTGGCCTACAGCTGAGCCCCCAGGCTCTACTTTGTCGGGCTCCCACCCTCTCCCTGTGCCCTGTGAGGTGAGTGGGTGCTGGCCCACGGGCAGTGAGGGTACCCCGGGGGTGGAAGTCTCAGCCGTGGAGGCCTCTGCTAGACTCGCCTGAGCACACCTGCTCCCAGGGTGGCTCCCGGTGGGCTCTGCGCACTCCAGGTCTGGGGGGGGCTTTGCAGCTTTGGTGTCTCGTGTGTGTGTGTGTGTGTGTGTGTGTGTGTGTGTGTGTGTGTGTCTGTCTGTCTGTCCGTCCTCTCTGCCTGCTCTGGGACCGGCCCTGGCACAAGCCTCAGAGTCCTGGCTGCCCTCCCTTGTCCCCGGGCCCCCATGGCAGTGCCCAGCCCCACAGCAGGGACAGCACCACGGGGCCTGAGCCATGCACACGGCGAGCCGGGCCGGCGTCCCCAGCGCGGCCTCTCCTCCCAACCCCTCCAGGGAAAGGAGACCTGCAGCCTCAGCTGGACAGCGCCCTGCAGGACGTCAACGACATGTACCTGCTGCTGGAGGAGACAGAGAAGCAGGCAGTGCGCCGGGCCCTGATCGAGGAGCGCGGGCGCTTCTGCACCTTCATCACGTTCCTGCAGCCCGTGGTGGTGGGTCCCTTGGAGTCAGAGAGGTGTTCTCAGCATCCCCCGCCATTGGGCTAGTTGAAGGGTCTCCATGAATTTGGGGAAATCCCAAGAATCAGGATTTGGGAGCCACCGGTGGGAGTTTTTCGGGGTGACTCAGAGGCCCCAGCAGGTTGGCCAGGGCCCAGGGTTGACCCCTCGACCTCCGAGAAAGGCTGCTTCTCAGTGATTCCTGGCTGGGTGCCTTCAGAGCTGCATGCTCACAGCCCGAAGACAGGTCTCATAGCTCATGGTGCACTGATTTGGTCTGGACAGATGGTCACGCCAGCCCCAGGGTGTCCAGTTCCAGCCTCGGTCAGACCCGAGCAGTGTTGGGGGAGAGGGGAGGAGCAGGGGAGGCCCGTTCCTCCGGGGGGGGGGGGGACAGGGGCAGGGCCAGCGGGTCTGACCCACTGCTTCCCCAGAACGGCGAGCTGACCATGCTGGGAGAGATCACCCACCTGCAGGGCATCATCGACGACCTGGTGGTGCTGACGGCAGAACCCCACAAGCTGCCCCCCGCCAGTGAGCAGGTGCGGCCGTCCTGGGGCTAGGGGGGCAGGGGCAGGGCTAGCCTGCCGTTGGTTGGGGGACAGTAGAGGGAAAAACAGGACAGAGGACCAGACAGGTCCCAACACGCACCGTGGGACACCCAGGAGCACCTGCCCGGGGCAGGGGTGGTGTGCCCAGGACCTAGTGGGGGCCTCAGTCTGAGAGCAGATGTGGGGAGGCCCCGTGTCTGCCCCCAGGCTCCCCCTGAACAAGCCAGACCTGGTGACGCCTGCCTGTCGTCCACGCCCAGAACCTGTCCCCTCCCCTAGACCCAGGCACACAGACACCTGCCCACACTTGCCACCCGCTCAGCGCACCACTGTGCTCCCACCGCATGAGGGTCGGTCCCACGTGACAGGCCCATGGCGTTGCTCTGGCCCGGCGCCCGCTCTGTGCCCGGCACTCTGCCCAGCATTTTCCACGGCCATCCCGTTGAATTCCCCCTGCCCCATGGCCCCTGCAAGACAGGAGTCATCATGGGCTGCTCTTCACGGGAGAAAATAGGCGAGGTTCCAGGAACTTGCCCAAAGGGCACAGCAGAGCCAGGATTTGAACCCCATGGTGTCCCCCATGGTCACTCTCAGCTCCTCTGCCAGTGACAGTGACAGTCCCCAGGGAGCCCTGGTTCTCCCATGCCCCCTCCCTCCCCTGGCAGCCCTGCTTTCAGACTCCCCTGGAGGGTCTCCTGCTGGGACTTGGCTCTCAATAGGGAAGAGAGTGGGGGGGGGGCTCTGTCCCTACCAGTCCTCTCTGGGGGCCCCCAGACAACACTAAGGCTCTCTGCAGAGGAAGGCTGCCCTCGGTGATCCCCATCTCTGTCCCTGCGCAGGTGATCAAAGACCTGAAGGGCTCAGACTATAGCTGGTCCTACCAGACGCCCCCGTCTTCACCCAGCGGCTCCGGCTCACGGAAGTCCAGCATGTGCAGGTCAGTGCAGGGTTGACGGGGGGCAGGGAGGGGCAGAGGCCCCCAGGGAGGGGATGGGTGAGCTCCCAGCAAAGCTGCATTGAGATCGGCTTCCAGGCCCCAGAATTCACCCAAGTGCGTCACAGAGGAATTGGCATGCAAGCATAGAGGACGAATGTACCCCCATCTCGAGGCCACTGCCTGCGCAGGCGTGGGGTAGCGGCGGGAGGGGGGGGGGGCTGCAGCTTCGTCTGTGGAGCAGTCACTGTGTGCGCCAGGGACCGTGCTACATGCTTTATGCGTTTTCTTCGCTGAATCCTAACACCACCGTATCAGGTATGGTGGTGTCTCCATTTCACAGAAGGGGAGACTGAGGCACAGGGTCCCGGCATTTCACGACTGGCCTCTGCCCAGCCCAGCAGAGTCGATGCGGGTGGAGGGGCAGTAAGAATCTAAGATCGGGGGTGGGCACAGACGCTTCTGGGAAGGTGTGCGGAGGCCCCAAGGTAAGGGACACCCCAGCCTGGCTGGTTGCTGAGGGCTGGTTCCCGGCCCCCGACGCTCCTTCCTTCACGGTGCAGGCTCAGGATCAGGGACGCCTCCAGGGCTGGCACTAAGACAGCGTTTGGAGGAGACATTTAAGATTCAAGGTTCCTCAGGGGGGAGGGCAGTGAGCACAGATGAGTTACTGGTGGGGGAGGCCCCTCTGTTCCAGGCTCCCCTTCCCCAGAGCCACCTCTGGCCGGGCACCTGGGCACGGGAGGTAAGCCGCACATGGCCATCAGCAGCTCCTGTCAGGGGAGGAGGGCCTGGGTCTGTTGACCCCAGGTAGGGGTCCAGGGAGGGTTGATGGCCAGGGACACCCATGACCCGGGGTGGGGGCTGAGTAGCTTCAGGATCACATTCAGAAAGAAGGCAGCCTTCATTGCCCAAGAGTGAAATGGTTGCACAGAGGATGTGAGCTGCGGAGGGCTGGACACACTCAAGGGGACGGGAGGGATGAGGGGCAGTGGCGGGTCCAGGACCCACACAGACCATCACCGCACCCTAGATACTCAGGGTTTGACGGCAAAGATCTGACTTTGAGGAGGCAGTCCAGAGATAGACTCGTGTTGGGTTCTAGCCCGAATGGGACAAGGTTTGATGCTTAGTGACTCAGTTTCCCCATCACCAACCTAAGGTCTACTGTTCTTAATGGCAAAGTAGGAAGCAAAGTGCCTGCTTGGCCCTGGGCATGCCCTGGAACACGGCTCTTGGGTGCTGTCCCCTGCTCGGGCCCTCCTCCTTCCGACCCCCCACCCCCACCCCCTGTCCCAGAACCCACCTCTTCTGTGGAACCCAGGTTTCAGGACTTGTAGTCTGACTTTGTCTTTTCCTTCCTTTGCCCCTCACCTCTCTCCTCCACCCTTGTCTGTCACCCCTCCGCACGCACCCTGTGTCTCCCTGTCTGGCTGCTGCCCGCCCCCCCCACTCCCCCAGTGCCCCCAGCAGCAGTAGCAGTGCCAAGGGTGGCGGAGCCCCGTGGCCTGGGGGTGCCCACACATACTCACCCGGTTCCACCTGTCGCTACCGCAGCCTGGCACAGCCAGCCGCCGCCCGCCTCTCCAGTGTCTCCTCCCACGACTCTGGCTTCGTCTCCCAGGACGCCACCTACTCCAAGCCCCCCTCACCCATGCCTTCCGACATCACCAGCCAGGTGAGGAGGTGTCTGCAGGGCCTGCAGCTCTTGGGCCTGGCCTGGAGGTCCCCAGGACCACCTCACTGGGGACCAACCTGGCTAAGGAGAGGTGGACAAGGGTTAGAGCAGCGGGCATCCGCCACAGCGGTGTCAGCAGGGGGCTCTTGTGGCCCCACTTCCTCACCATTTCCTGATTCCTTACCGACTGCCTTCTTCCAGCCATGGGAGCCCCGAGGGGGCTGCTGCACAGCTCTGATCCCTTGTGACCCTCCCCCTGCATAGGCTTACTGTGATGGGGTGGCTGACCCTAGAAGGCATCCCCAGGAGCCCCAGGACATCCTCCTGCTTCTACACAGTTGGGCCAGCTCACTTGGAACCCAGAGACTGGCCCACGAATCTCCTCAAGATGCAGGCTCAGATCCTGCAGCCTCAGTGAGATGGGCAAACAGAGGGACCACAGTAGAAGACAGAAGGAGGTCAGGCCACCTGCCCAGGGGGCTATCCTGGGGGTGTCAGGAGTGACTGCATTTGGATCCAGTCAGCTATTCCTCCCCATCTGGGCTAATGCCTCCATTTGGGCTCAGTATTTTATGGTCTGGTTTTTTTGCTCAAGGATGTCCCCGCTACACTTGCAGTCTCTCTCCCTGTGCTGGCTCATTCCCGTCAGTACACAAACACGCTCCAGCTTCCTGCATTTTAAAAGCCCTCCCTTCCCCCACCATGTTATCCTCCAACCACTTAGTATCCTTCACAACAGAACTTCTCAAAAGAGTTGTCTACACTGACCATCTCTATCCTCGTTCCCGTTCATTTCTGTGTGCTTCACCTATGTATAACTGAAAAATTTAAGATTTGTTATTTTCTCCCATATGGTTCTATGCATGTTTGCTGTATGTGAGACTCTTCTATTAAGTGCGTACAAGTTTCAAATGTCAACTCTTCGTAGTGAATTGAATCTTCTAACATGATGTGGTTGATCCTCTGCTCCTTACAGTGCTTCCTTTCCTAAAGCCTCTCTTGTTTGACATTGTTATGGTTATCTCAGCTGCGTTTGGCCCAAGATTTATATCATCACCTCCCATCTCTTGGCTTTTAAATTCACTCTATCTTTGCGTTTAAGATGAGTCTCTTATAAATAGCAGATGCCTAGGTTTTCTTTTATATAATAGTTTGACGATATCTTTTAATCAGTATTTTTTTTAAAAGATTTTATTTATTTGACAGACCGACAGACAGCGAGAGAGGGAACACGAGCAGGGGGAGTGGGAGAGGGAGAAGCAGGCTTCCCGCCGAGCAGGGAGCCCGATGCGGGGCTTGATCCCAGGACCCCGGGATCGTGACCCGAGCCGAGGGCACAGACGCTTAACGACTGAGCCACCCAGGTGCCCCTTTTTCAGTATTTTTGGTCCACTTATATTTATTGTGATTACTGACATATTTGGACTCCTGGGTTGTTTTTTTTTTTTTCTGTTTATTCATTCTGCTTTTTCTGTGCTGCTTTTGTCTCTTCCTTTGCCATTTGTTTGTTTTTCTTTTTCCCATTTTTACCCCCCCCAACTAGATTCTAAGTTTTACTCTATTTCTTTTCTTTTACAGGGTACTGTGAAATTTTACCATACATCCGTACCATTCACCTCCTAATAACTCAAGGATCTTAATAAATATTTTAACTTAGTCACCCACTTCCTCCCAACTTACAAGCTATTATATGTTATTCTCTACTTTTTTTTTTATAACATGGTATTTTTCTTGTTACTTTCGTTACCCTTTTGTACATACAGTATTTGTCTAGATTTCTCCATATGCTTCCACATTCCTTTGTTGATCATTTTTTCTTGTACCTCAAGTCTTCCTTTCTGAAGTATAGCATGTCCTTTAGAAGTTCTTTTAGACTAGGTCTGTAGCAGTAAATTCTTCGTTTTTGTTTATCTGTAAACATGCTTCATTTGGTGTCTTTCTTGAAAGTTTTGCCGGGGACACAATTCTGAGGTGACAGTTGTTTGCACACTTGGAAGGTATTTTTCCACTGTGTTTTGGCTCCCGTCGTCGGTTAAGAGGTCTTCCGTCAGGGTGCCTGGGGGGCCCAGTCGTTAAGCGTCTGCCTTCGGCTCAGGTCATGATCCCAGTGTCCTGGGATCGAGCCCCGCATCGGGCTCCCTGCTCGGCGGGAAGCCTGCTTCTCCCTCTCCCACTCCCCCTGCCTGTGTTCCCTCTCTCGTTGTGTCTCTCTCTCTCTCTGTCAAATCAATAAATAAAATCTTAAAAAAAAAAAAAAAAGTCCTCAGATCATGAGCTTACTTTGCTCCCTGGTCACTTTTAAGATCTTTTCTCTTCAGTTTGTGTCTAGTTGCAGATTTGTTTTTATTTAGCCTCCCTTGATATGTTTGTATTCCTTTATCTTTGTATTCATGTCTTTCATACGTTCTGGAAATTTTCAGCCATTATTTCTGTATTCCTGCTTTTGTTTTGCTATCGCTCCTTCTGAGATTACAATTCATTGTCTTGCCAGACCTTCTCATTTATCCTTCTGTGTATCCTTCTTTTAACTCTCAGATTTTCCTTCTCCTCGCTTCTCTGTATGATGTTCTGGATCATTTACTCAGGTCTGTCTTCCAGTTTCCTTTTTCTCTACGTTACAGCAATTTAACCTCTCCTTTGAGGCTTTTTTCTAACTTGGTATTTTGAAATAATTTCAGACTTGTAGAAAAGTTGCAAAAAGAGTACAGGGGTCTCACCTACTCCTCCCAAGCCTCCCCTAACATTAACCCCTTATGTAGCTACAATACTGTTAACTAACCTACGGTCTTTTCTCAAACGCTGCCAGTTTTCTCTGGTCTAGGAGTGCAGGACCCTGTTGTATCTCTTGCGGCTTCTCCAATATGTAGTCATCCGTCAGTCCTTCTTTCATGACTTTGATACTTTTGATACCAGTCAGGTATTTTGTAAAACATCTCTCAGTTTGGATGTGTCTGGTGTCTTCCCAGAGTTAAACCAAGGTCACACATTTCTGGCAAGAATACCGTACCAGTGGTGGATTGCTGTTCCTCATCCTCACCAACCCTTGGGATTTTCCATCTTTTTCATTGTGGCCATTCTGGGGGGCTGCATCTGGTGTGCCCTGTACTTTTAATTTTACTTCCCCGACGAGGAACGAGGGGGGGAAGTTTCATGCTTCAGAAGGGCACTTGGCTGTCCTCTTTTATGAAGGACCTGTTCACATTTTTGCCCATTTTTCTACTAGGTGTTTTGTGTTTTTTTTTCTTATTGATTCCTAGAACTTCTTATATATTACGGATACAACTCCTTCATCTGAGATCTTCTCTGATTCTGTGGATTCCCTTTTTACTCTCTTAATGGAGTCTTTTAATGACCTAAAATTCTTAATTTTAACGGATATCCAGTTTGTCCAATTTATTCATTTTTTTAAATTGTGCTTTTTGTGTCCTGAGATAAGCCTTTTTCTTTGGCCTTTTTCTTTTTTTTTTTTTTTTAAGATTTTATTTATTTATTTGAGAGAGAGAGAGAATGAGAGATACAGAGCACAAGAAGGAAGAGGGTCAGAGGGAGAAGCAGACTCCCCGCTGAGCGGGGAGCCTGATGCGGGACTCGATCCCGGGACTCCAGGATCATGACCTGAGCCGAAGGCAGTCGCTTAACCAACTGAGCCACCCAGGCACCCTGACCTTTTTCATTTAGATCTGCAGCTCATCAGGAATTGATTGTGTGTGTGTGTGCATGTGTGGGTGGGTGTGTGCGCACATATGATATGAGGTAGGGGTCATTTTTCCATACAGATATCTAATTGGCAGTTTATTGAAAAGGCTGTCTTATCTGTAAACATGCTTCATTTGGTGTCTTTCTTGAAAGTTCCCCCCCGCTGCACTATAGTGTTGCCTTTGTCATAAATCAGGTATTATCTGTATACCTGTAACTGTTTTCAGAGTTTGTATTCTATCTGCTGGTTCATTTGTGTTCTCATACCAAGACCGTGCCACCTTAATTATTGTGACTTTATACAAAACTTTGATAACGTGGTAACAGAAGTCTTCCAATTTTGTTATTCTTCAATATCCCCTTGTCTATTTCTGGCCCTTTGCAGTTCCTTGTATTCCTTAACGTTAGCTTGTCAGTTTCCATCAAAAAAACAGTAACAGCAACTCCCGGGGTTTTGACTGGGGATTGCTCATGTCTCTCCATTCCTTTTGGCTTTTCCTTCTCTCAGTGATGTTTTATAGTTTGCGTGTAAAGATCTTGCACATCCATCGTTGGATTTTTTTTCCTGGGTATTTAATGTTTATTGATGCTATTTTATTTATTTATTTTAAAGATTTTATTTATTTGAGAGAGCGAGCGCAAAGAGAGCAAGCAGGGAGAGGAGCAGAGGTAGAGGGACAAGCAGACTCCAGGCTGAGCGTGGAGCCTGACGTGGGGCTGGACCCCATGACCCTGAGAGCATGACCTGAGCCAAAATCAAGAGTCAGTTGTTCAATCAACTGAGCCAACCAGGCGCCCCTGTTGATGCTATTTTAAATTATATTGCCTTTTTAGGGAGCTTTGTGTTTGTTGGCTGCTGAAATTTAAAAATTTGATTTTTGCCTTTGGTATATTGATTTTACATGCCATCATTTTATTAAAGTCACTTATCAGTTCTGATAACTATAGACTCTTCTGAGTATTCTGCATATACAGCAGTCATGTCTGTTATGAGTAAGGACTGCTTTTTTCTACCTTTCCTATCTTTTTGCTTTTTGCTACATTTTTTTTGCCTTACTGCCCTCCTAGGACTCCCAGTACTGAGCGGAAATGGTGATCATGGGCATTCTTATCTTTTTCCCACCCTCTGAGGGAAATATATTGATATTTGTGTAGATACTTTTTATTATCCGATTAAGGAAGTTTTTTCTGTCCCTAGTTTAAGTGTTTGTTCATGAATAGACATTGAATTTTTCCACTGAGTGTTCCAAATGCTTTTTCCATTGGTTTTTGTTTGCTTTAACAATTATATTGGTAAAAATCTAAATTTGTTTCTTGTATCATCTGAATCCTCACCTGTGGTGCTTTGTTTCCTTTTATTTTGGTGATCTTGGTTCATCATAAACTGTAAAAAAAAAAAAAATCTGGGGGTCCAAATTAAGGAGAATATGGAGAATTTGACAGGGCAGTCGTGGTACTAAAACGGACCCTTTGCAGGTACCCTGGCTTAATTCGGACCATCACAGGGCGAGCCCCCCACCTTGGCCCTTGCGCAGTCTCCCAACCACTGTACTGCACTCAGCGTGTGCCTCAGGGAGCACTCATGGTCCTGTGTCTGCCCTGGCTGCCTTTGCCTTAATTCTTGTCTTCTTTTGAGTTGGGGGCTTCCCAGGCCACCCACTCCCCACAACTGCCCAGAGCAGGTGTCTCCCCTGCACGCTTGGTCTGCTCAAAAGTGGACCTCTGCCCCCACCATTCTGTGACCTAGTTCTCAAGGTCTCCAGGGATGCCTCCGTGTCGTCGTCTGATGGACCCCTGGCAGCCTCAGCTCCTCCACAGGGCAGGTCCTTCTGAGTTCTGTGACATCGTCTGCTTATGGTTTTCTTCCCACTTCTCTGGCAGCTCCTTGTTCCTCTCCTTTGCTGGACCCTCCTCTTCTTGCCAGCCACTGAGCGTGGGCGTGCCTGGGGTTCTTGAATCTTCTAACTGCCCTCACTGCCGAGGTGACCTTACTCTGTCTCACGGCCATGGCTTGGTGGCTCCACCCTTGTCTTCTCTCTAAACTCCAGACCTGTAAATGCGTTTGCCTACATCACATCTGTGCGTAGATACCTAACAGGCAGCTGAGCTCTGCACGTGCAGGATGGAACTCTGGCCTCCCGCAGGCCGGCCCTTCTCAGATGACAGGGACACCGTCAACCCCGCTGCCTTCCCTCGTGTCTCTTTCCCTGGCCCACCATATCCGGGCCATCGGCAGCGAGTCCGGTTGTTAATTCTCACAACCTCTGGCTCTTGGGCTGGGCCGCAGGGTCAGTCGGTGCCCGCAGTGTGCGCTCAGGGTGCTGAGATCTGCCGCAGACGCTCGCAGGGGTGGCGGGGTGGGGCACCGAGCCGGAACGCCCCGCTGCATGCCGGCGCTGTGACCAGGTCTGTTCTCTCCTCTCCTCCTGGCCTCCCTGCCCCATCCGCCCGCCTGTTCGCCTCTGCATGGCAGAAGTCCTCCAGCTCTGCGTCCTCAGAGGCCTCGGAAACCTGCCAGTCCGTTAGCGAGTGCAGCTCCCCCACCTCGGTCAGTGCTCCCCACCTGCAGGGGGACGCAGGGAGGGTCCAGGGTCAACCAGAGGGGGGTGCACACAGTGCCTGCTCCCCACAGGAAAAGCCGTCTGGGCACACCTGCAGCCACTCCCAACACACATCTTTCCCTCCTGGGACATGGCCATCCTACCCCTGGGCCTGGAGGGACTGAGGAATCATGGCACCCTCCACGCTCTGCCCTTGGCCATGATATGAGCCTGAGGCCCCCTTCTGGGCCTGAAAACCCTGAACCTCAACTATAGTGAGGGGATCCTTCACCGAGGACGGCAGGGCCAAGGGCCCCCTGACCCATCTGCCACACCCTGCAGGACTGGGCCAAGGCGGGCCCCCATGAACAGCCCTCGGGCACCAGCCTACAGCGGAGGAAGGACAGAGCGGAGCACCCCCGAGACACGGAGCCAGGCCTGGCCAGTGGGGGCACCCTGGGCCCCAGCGGAGAGGAGGCGCCACGACCCCGCATGTCCCCTGCCACCATCGCAGCGAAGGTAGGCGCCGGCTCCTCTGGCAGCCCAGCCAGGACCCCATCTTCGCTGCCAGGCCAGGTTCCCCTGGCGGGAGACACCTACAGTCCAGGGGCGGGGGGAGTGGGGGACAGGGAGCCAGGCTTCAGCCTGCAGTCTTACCACCCCCAGCACGGTGAGGAGGTGTCCCCCGCGGCCAGTGACCTGGCCATGGTGTTGACCCGCGGCCTGAGCCTGGAGCACCAGAAGAGCAGCCGGGACTCGCTGCAGTACTCCAGCGGCTACAGCACGCAGACCACCACGCCCTCCTGCTCTGAGGACACCATCCCCTCCCAAGGTAGGCCCTGGGGCTGGGGCTGGGTCACCGGGCCTTCACAGCCCCGGCCCTGGCCCACTGCATCCCGTGCCCCCAGGCTCCGACTACGACTGCTACTCGGTGAACGGGGACGCGGACGGCGAGGGCCCAGCCGAGTTCGACAAGTCCTCCACCATCCCCCGCAACAGCAACATCGCCCAGAACTACCGCCGCCTGATCCAGACCAAGCGCCCGGCCTCCACCGCGGGGCTGCCCAGCGCCTCGGGTGCGCCCCCCGGCGTGGCCACCATCCGCCGCACGCCGTCCACCAAGCCTGCCGTGCGCCGCGCGCTCTCCAGCGCCGGCCCCATCCCCATCCGGCCGCCCATCGTGCCCGTGAAGACGCCCACGGTGCCCGACTCCCCCGGCTACGCGGGGCCCACGCGAGCGGGCAGTGAGGAGTGCGTCTTCTACAGCGACGAGGCCGCCTCGCCCCTGGCCCCAGACCTGGCCAAGGCCTCCCCGAAGAGGCTGAGCCTGCCCAACACGGCCTGGGCCAGCCCGGCCCCCGAGGCGGCCGGCTACGCAGGGCTGGCGGCGGACGACGAAGACCAGCAGCGGCAGCTGGCCGCCAACCGGCACAGCCTGGTGGAGAAGCTTGGGGAGCTGGTGGCGGGGGCCCATGCCCTGGGCGAGGGCCAGTTCCCTTTCCCGTCCGGCCTGGCCGCCGCCGCTGCCGCCCCCACCGAAGAGACGCCCAGCCCGCCCCCTGCCGCCTCTGGCGAGCCCCCGGCCGAAGACATGCTGGTGGCCATCCGCCGCGGGGTGCGGCTCCGCAGGACCGTCACCAATGACAGGTCGGCGCCCCGCATCTTGTGATGGCGCCACCCTCCCGCCCTGTGGCCCCCGCGAGAGGCAGGTGGCCTGGCAGGTGACCCGCAGCCGCTCAGAGCCAAGGCACAGCGAGGAGACAGCAGAGCCAGGCAAGCTTTCGGATTTTTGTTTAAGTCACGTGGGATGGAAAGACACTCATCTTGGATTTCAGCATTTAAACGGGAAGTGACTTCTTTAACAAAGCTCACAGCTCTGAGCCTGCAGGTCTTGAACTGGGTTTGGAGCCTGTTTTGTATGTTTCTTGCCTGTTCTGCTGCTCCTCTTCCTCTTCCACAGGACCTGCCTCCCCCCCCCCCCCCCCCCGCCCCCAACCCCCGTCTCTGGGAGCCTGCTCTGGGCCCGCAGTGCCCTAGCTCAGGCGACCTGGCCCCGCTTCTCCCTGGTCGGTGGTGCCTGGGGCTTCCCCTCAATGCCGGTCCCTTCTCCTTTCTTCTCTCTCCTCTCCGCTCTCCCAGGTTCCTCTCAATCAGGGAGGCAGGCTGGGCTGTTGAGGGGCCAGGTGCCCAGTCGGCTAAGATGTCAGATTTGACTGAAAAGCTACACAGAATGGCACTGGAGGCGGGGAGGCTGAAGTTGAGGTTGAGGTTGGGAGGCCCAGGCTACTGTGGAGGAAAGAGGCCCACAGGCCCAGGGCCCCAAGTTGAGTGCTGGGGATCTGTTTGGAGGCGGCTGTGGAGCCCAAGGGGCTTCAGGTCCTAGCTTCCCCTCACTGGGGAGGCGTGGCTGGGGCAAGGGGCAGGGCAGCAGGGAAGGAATCCGGAGGCCCGAGGGGCATCTGGCCAGCCCTCCACGAGCTGCTTTCAGATGTGTGGTCCTCACCTGGGCACGTTGAGAATTTAACTCTGGTGGCACTTTGGTCCAAAGGTGGTTTCAGCCGCCTCTGGGGATAGGGGCTGGGGCTGTAGAGGGTGTGGGGGGTTATTTTATGAATATAATAATAGAGCTGACTGGACAAGGACCGTGTGTGGGGGCAGGGTGGACAGTACAGGGTGTCCGAGAGTGCCTGAGGGACAGGGGTCCTCACAGTGGCCCGGCGGGCCCAGGGCAGGAGGAGGAGGGCCACATGGGCTTCCCCAAAGCCAAAATAAGGTCGGAGAGGGCCGGGGGCCGGGGGGCAGCACGTCTCCTTGGATGGGGCTGGGGTGCGGTCCAGGGAGCTTGGCTTTGACTCTCTGTTGCCAGAGGAGATGCCATCCTGGTGCAGTCCCCTCGGAGTCCAGTCCTGTGCTGGCGGTGGGTGCGGGGTGGGGGTGCCCGCCAACTCGAGGCAGGTAGAAGCAGGTGCGTCTAGGGCTAGTGGAGGGCTTCTTGTTGTCCTGCGGGCCAGCAGAGAGGGTGGCCGGGCTCGGAGGGCAGAGGGACCACAGGGTGTGCCGGGGGGGGGGGGGGGGGGGGGGGGGGGGGCTCCCGGAGTCAGGAGAGCAGGTTTTTCCTGGTCTGGATGGGATGGGGTTGGGTCTGAGTCTCAGCGCCAGGCTGGAGCTCCTGGTAGTTCTGCAGGGAACCGGGATCCAAGCAAGGTGACCAGGCAGGTCTGGGGAACCAAGGCGGCCCCCGGGTGGAGAGAGCACCCCCCCCACCCCGGCTCCCAAGGGCAGACGGAGAATGGTATCTGTAAGTTGCTAGGTCTGAGAACAGCCTTGCTGAACGCTCCAGCCAACCAGAGAGCCCAGATTAGGGTGCCTGGAGAGAGGGCCTGAAAAGGCCGGGAGAGCACATGGCCCACTGGGGAAGGCCCGCGGTGGAGTTTACACTGCCCCTTCCCTGCAGGGCTGTGCTGGCGTTGACCCGGTGGGCGGAGGGAGTAAGATGCAGGATGTGTGATGTTAGCAGGGTAAGGAGGGGTGGGGGGGGGGGGGGGGGTGGCTTGGGAGGCCCGAGGAGGGGGTGGGCATGGCAGAGCCACCCCCCCTCCAGGCTCAAGCCGCCTCCCCTCCAAGCCACCCCAGGGCTGTACATAACTCCCCCATCCCCCTGACCACCTATCTCCCATTTAGTGACCACCTCTTAGGCCCACCCCCTTGGGATCCGAGCCAGCCATCCCGCATCACACACTTTGGGGGACTTCTTCGTGTTTTTTTTTTTTTTCATTTGTACAGAGAAATATTCTTTTCAAAAGCGTCTTTTGACTGAAGTAACTTTTCTGGTGCTGTTGTTAACTTGTTCCTTTTTTTAATTTATTTCCCCACCCGGGTCTCCCCTCCTGGTTCCTACTCCCCCTTTCTTCCCCCCCCCCCCCCCCCCCCCATCCCATCTGACCCATTTTGTTTCTTTTCTTTCTGTCCGTTTTTGGATAAAATCTCCTCTCCTCCCTGCCCCCTCCACCCCCCCTTGATTGAAATAGTCACTGCTACGAGTAACAAATGCACTGTGAAGACTCCAGTATTAATAAAGTTGTACTGTAATTAACAGCCCTGCCTCTGCCTGGCTCCCTCCACCGCTGCTCCCGGCCCTGTCCTACCCCAGATCCGGCCTGGGGAGCACGGGGTCCGTGTTGCAGGGGCAGGAGGGGCCAGGTCTTGTGCCAGGATCTATGCTTTTGAACACCTCCACTCTGTCCTGGCCAGGTGGAGCCAGGGAGGGTGACCAGGGGGCACGGAGGAAGACCTCTCCGACACCGTGCCCCTCGGTCTGTCTCGCTGAGGCCCCAACCGCTAGGGCATGCCTGGAAGAAACTCAGGCTCTCAAATACCATTTCCAGGCTGCCAGGGTAAGGCTTCATCCATTCCAGATCCCAACCTTGAGACCTAAGCCCCAGGGCCCGACCAGCCCACCCCACTCCTGCGTCCTACCCTTGACCAGCTGGAAGTGGAACGTAGAGGCTCGCTGCCCTCTGGGGTTCACCTTTGCAGATGCAAACCAAGCCAAAACAAAACAAGCAAGTGTTTAATAGAAAATATAAGAGGAACTGGAAGAGCATCCACTGTGGCAAGACGTGGTGTGTGGCTTCCTGCCCTCTCCCCATGCTCACCCCCATCCGGCACAGTTTTCCCCTCTGCAGGCCACGGGAGACGCTCAGCGCCGCCTCCAGGCAAGGGAGGCAGCCCAGGTGGTGCAGGAAGGGGAAGAGAACTCTGTCCACCTTCAGGTGCCCCCAGGCCCCCGCTGCTCCAGGTGAGACCAGGTGAGGTACAGAATGCGGGAAGCTGAACCCTTCTCAGGCACAGGATCCCCTCAAAGGGAAAACACTCTCCTGGGGGTTCCTCTCCCCCTGGGGGGAGGGGGGGTGCTCCTCACCACTGCCCCCACAAGTCTCAGGCTCAACCGAACTGCGGGAGCACCTCCAGCTGCCCCACGCAGGTCACCACACAGGCTGCTAGGGCCAAGAGGTCTCGGCCTGTGCCCTCAGCAGCTTCACTGAGCCGGGGGTCCGGGCTTGGATCCTGGGGAGTGGGGCAGGGAGACAGAGGGCCTCTGGGACAGAGGGTATAGCTGGGTAGCCACGCACTGTGAGGAGGGCTCTGGGCTGTGGGGCTGAGGGCTCGGCGCCTCACAGTCCTGCCAATTTAGGACGGAACTTTGTTTACCTGCAGGAAACGGGGAAAAAAAAAGACTGCAGGAGTGGTCAACAGCCTCCCTCGGCCCCAGACCAAGCCCCGTTGTTCTTGTCCCTGTACCTGGGGCCCATCTTGGCTTTCCGAAATGCCCTATAGCCCTGGGGAGTGGAGGAAATGCCCGGCGGGGGGGGGGGGGGGGCCTGGTCTGCTCAGTGACCCTGCGTCTGAAGCCGGGTGTCCTGCCCCCAGCCCCATCCACTTGTTCCTTACAGCAAGAACAGTACAGCAGTTCCATGACCCGGAAGCAGTTGTCCAGGAGGGCTTTGGGTCGCACCAGCTTCAGGCTTAGCCTCGGGCCACTCAGAAGTGACACTACCGCATCCACCTTGGGGCTGATCTCCACATCCTGGAAGGGAGGGGACTGTCAGGACCACGGGTGCCAGCCCTCCCCACCCCCCTGCCAGCCCCAGTGAAGAGGCAGGGCCCACCTCCCAGGAGAAGCCTGGAAACTGCCCTGCGCAGAGCTGCACAAACCATGGAGGCAGGGGACTAACTGTGACCGGGGGGCCTATGGGTAAATTCTCTCTTCCTTCCTGCAGGCACCAAGTTACCTGGGAGGGTCCCCCTCGACAACTCTCACCCAAGCCCATCATCAGAGAGGCTTTTTTTCCATCTTTGGAAAAATGATTGTAGGGGGCATCCTTGCTGTTCTAGCCCAGGCCCGGCCACTTGCACACAAGGAGTCCTGGGCCCGGGAGACTGTCCTTCAGGATTCAAAGATCTCCACTGGCTGCAGGGAACAAGACAAAGGACCCTGTGAGGGCCGTATCATGAGGACACCTGGGTGCCAGCACCCCGGGCCGGGCTAGTCTCCAGCTCCAAACTCAGGGTGCTTCTCTCCATAGTACTTAACGACAGGGGGCACGGTGTGGGGAGCAGGCAGGCACACTTGGGGGACGGAGCAGGGGGCCAGAGCTAGTGCAGGAGACATGGCCTAGAAAGGAAAGGTGGGGCCTGAGCCAGGCAAAGGCCTTCCCAAAGGCAGTGTACTGGGTTGAATTGTCTGTCCCCTAATCCCCCCTCCAAAAAAACTACGTCCAACCCTGGGACCTGTGAACACGACCCTATTTGGAAATAAGACATTTGCAGATGTAATTAACGATCTCCAGATGAGATCAGTTTGAATGTAGGGTGTGCCCTAAATCCAATGACACGTCCTTGTAAGAGGGGGTGCTAGAGGGAAAGGCCATGTGAGGGTGGAGGCAGAGGTTGGAGTGATGTGGCCACAAGCCAGCAAGAGTAGCAGCCAGCAGAAGCAGGGAAGAAACAGGAAGGGTCCCTGCTCCCTAGAACCTTCAGAGAGAGCGTGGCCTTGCGGATATACCCTCAGTGCAGGGTTTCCGGCTCCAGGTCTGTGGCAGGAGAATTTCCCTATTATGCCACCAGTAAGTGGTCATTTGTCACAACAACCCAAAAAAAGCCAGTCTACAAAGGCTTGGAAAGAAGCGAGGGTGGCAGGAGGGAGAAGGGGCCTGTCCCGTGGCCCACTCCCTGGCAGGGAGAACCCACTGCGCACCAGATGCTGGGCATATTTGGAGCGGGGCACAGACCATTAACTCTGTGAAAAAGAAGACAAGACTTAAAGCTGGTTAAATCTGAACCACGTGGGCAGATGGGGGAGGCAGGCCTCCGCCCACCCACAACCTCCTCCCCAGCTCCCAAGAGCTCAGAGTCAGGCTCTCACCAGGAAAACCAAGGATGCAAAACTGTCTCTTCAGGTCAGCTCCAACTCACATTGCCCATGGACACGAAAGAGCCACCAAGGAGACCACTGGGACTCCTAGCCTCCACCCAAACAGCCTCCCCAGAACTCCCAGCAGCCGTGGGCTCCTAAACCCTAGTGTCCCCCGCAGCTCCCAGCTCTGGCTGGGCAGCAAGGGGGGCTCCCCAGGGAAGAGTGTGGGGAGGGGTCCCGCAGTACACCTGTGGCCTGCATGGGCTCACACTAATCTGTGAGTTTATTCTGCAGGCTTTTTAAAGGACATATCCCTGAGGCCTCAGATCAACCCTATGAGGCAGGCAATGATCAGGAACCTCTATTATTATTATTAAAGTCCATAGTTCACTTTGTGCCGTACATGCTATGGACTTTGACAAACACAGGATATTACAGTGTCCTGGAGAAGCACTTCATTACCCTAAAAACCTCCTGTGTTCATCCCTCCACCTATTCATACTCCCTCCCCTCTCCCCCAAAAAAGAAACCTCCAGAAACAAAGCTACAGGGTTCAATGACTTACCTGGGATCCCAGAGCAAAAGACACAGAGCCCAGAGTATCCCCTGCCCCCAGCCCAGGCCACCCACTGGGCACTGGCCATCTCTTCCTCTCAATCATTTCTCCCACACCCTTCAGGACATGCTGAAACTTTCCATGTGTTCAAATCCTCCCTCAACCATCCTTGGCCACGGCGCACGCATGAGCACGCCCCCCCGCAGCGGGGCACAGTTCACCGTGAGGCTTTGCTGCACGTCCAGCAGCAGTGTATGGACCTCCTCCAGGTACTTCCAGGATGGGTGGCCCTCGAGCAGCACTTCCTGCACCGACTCAGTAGCGCTGAGGCTCACCCAGACCCACAGGTACCGCAGCTCCTGCTGGCTGACCCGAGCCTTCTGCTGTGGGGACAGGAGAGAGCGCTGAAGCCCACAGACACGGGTCTCTGGGCCCTCCCTGCCACTGCTCTGACCAACCCCCACCCAACACGTCCCCACAAAGAGAGCAGAGCATGGGCATCCGCGGTGGCCAGGGAGCAACCTTGGGCCTCAGTGGAAGGCAGGCTTGCTCACAGAGCTGGGAAAGGCCCCCTGGCAGCAGAACCTGCCAAAACCAATGTGCCTCTCAGGCTGGGTCCATGGGGTGTCCCAGGAGGCAGGGGTCTCCCAGCCCAGGAGGGGATTCTCACCAGCCTGGTGATGTTGGCCATTCTGAGCACCCCCTCATAAGGCACACTGATCCTGTAGTTGATGGGGAAGTAGTGTTTCTGGGGAAGTACAAGAAGAAGCCATGAGGTCAGAGTCAGAAATGGCTCAGGCTCCCCCAGCTCCCAGAGAGTCTGATGTAGGAGAGGGCCAAGGACCAGCCCTTTGATACCAGAGGTCGCCTTCTAGAGAGCATATGCACCTGGCTCCCCACAGGAATAACAACAGCTCTCTTTCCTCTGGGGCACAGGGAAGGCTGAAACCAAACGTGGAGTTCCTATGATGGCAGAAGTTTCCTGCCAAGAAGTGATTGAGGGACCTGCTACCCCCAGAGTAGTATATTCTTTGGAGGCGAGGAAGACTACCTTAAGTAAGATTAAACTTATTATGGTGCTGGTTGCAGAACTCTGCCAATAAGGGCATCTGGGTGGCTCAGTTGCTGAGCGTCTGCCTTCGGCTCAGGTCACGGTCCCGGGGTCCTGGGATCGAGCCCCGCATCGGGCTCCCTGCTCGGCGGGGAGCCTGCTTCTCCCTCTCCCACTCCCCCTGCTTGTGTTCCTGCTCTCACTGTGTCTCTCTCTGTCAAATAAAATCTTAAAAAAAAAACAACTGCCAATAGACTGAAAACCACGGAGCTGTACACTTAAACAGGTGAATAGTAGGATATGTGAAGGACATCTCAGCAAAGCTGTCAAAAAAAGAAAAAAGACTTCCAGAGCCACAGTGGCCCATGGGCTTCTCTATTCTACACAAAGGGGTGCACATTCCAATTTCTAGGTCCTTATCTGCCCAGCTGGTAATAAGTGCCTGGGGTTCCCCCAAGGCTTCCTGTAATCCACTCCTGAGTCCCAGGGTGAGTGCCATGGAGAGGCAGGATCAAAGGTCAGATCAAGTAGTAGGGGTGGAGGGCCCTGGCGATGGCTGGCAGGGGACAGTTGGTGTGGACCAGGCAGAGAAAGGGGCCCTGGGCTCAGGGCGGACGCAGACCCAGGGCGGGGCCCGAGGGTCCTACACCCTGTGAGGCCGGGCGCTTGGGCAGGGGACACAGCGGGTGCCCACAGTTACCATGTACTGCAGGCGGTTCCTGTACTGCAGCTTGTCCCGCAGAAAGCCGGTGACAGCGCACTCCTCGGTCTGGGTCAAGGGCCACATCTCCAAACCCCCGTTCCCCAAGGCCATGCCAAGGAGGATCCCGAGATCTGTGGACCGAACCCAACAGCAACACATGAGCACCCTGCGCCACCGCCACGCTGCCCGGGTGTGCAAAGCTGTGCGCGTGTGCCCTCCCTTTTCCCAGCCATGGGAGGGGCGGCAGCACGGAGCCCCAAGGAGGCCTTCCCCCCCACCAGTGTCCAGGCTCACACAGCAAGGCCAGGCGAGCAAGAGCAGTCCAGCCAGTGCACCCCTGCCCCCAGCCAGCAGAGCCCGCCCCGCAGTCCCATCCTGAGGTTGGTGTCCAGTCTCCTCCCCACTCCTGCCCCATGGGGCAGGCACAACCTCCTTTCCAGGGCAACCTCAGCCCCCACTCCCTTTAGGGCTGGAGTGTCCTCAAAGCCTGGGTCTGCATTTCCATCTGGGGATTCAGGAGGTCTGGATGCTCATTCCAACTCTGCAAATGACTCTTGAGTGACCGGAGCCATTTTCCTCCCTGCTGTAACTGATCTTGGCTTCCCCCTCAGACGTACAAATCATTGCAGCCCTTCCAATGCGCTCACTCTGGGGAAGCCAACCAAGTTCAGGCTGCCGCTTCTCCCTGCCCGCAAACAAGCTGCGGCCTTCCGAACATTACCAGCCTTCACCACTGGGGGTCACTGTGACTTCAAAAACAGCTTTTGTAATTTCCCGTAACTCAACACACTTACAAAAATTACCTGAGGAGTTGCAAAAAATATGAACGAGCATCAAACTCATCAGAGCAGAAAGAAAACACAGATGGGCAGGAGATGTATCCAACAAAAATCAAACTCACCAGTAAAGGTAAATATATATTAAAATAATCAGATGCCATGTTTCACTTATCAAAATGGAAATTGGGCGTTTTATTTTTTAATTTAATTTTCATGACACTTGGTTCCAGCAAAGTAGTGAGGCTCTTATCCTGGAAAGCAATTTGGCAATTTTTATTTTTAGTGGACTTAATAATGTCCACACCCTTTGACCCAATAAGCCTTGAAAATTTTCACATCCTTTGACCTACTGGAGCACCTGGGTGGCGCAGTCGGTTAACCATCTGACACTCAGTTTCAGCTCAGTCCCTGATCTCAGGGTTGTAAGATCAAGCCCCCCGTCCAGCACTCTACTCCCCTGAGAGGCCGCCCGCGTGTCTCCCTCCCCCCCCCTCCCCCCCCCCCCCCCTCTCAAATAATCTTTACAAAAACAATAATAAACAGGGGCGCCTGAGTGGCTCAGTTGGTTAAGCATCTGCCTTCGGCTCAGGTCACGATCCCAGGGTCCTGGGATCGAGCCCCGCATCGGGCTCCCTGCTCAGCGGGGAGCCTGTGTCTCCCTCTCCCTCTGCCTGCCGCTCCCCCTGTTTGTGCTGTCAAATAAATAAGTAAAATCTTTTTTAAAAAGTAAAGTTTAAAAAAATAATTTTTCACATTCTTTGATCCACTGAACTCATTTCTAGGCATAAGCCTGAAGGAAAACAAGAGAGCCCTCACCAAAAGATTCGTGGACAAAAAGTCCTGTGGAGGAATTCTCTTATATGAATAAACAATCTGTAAATGGCCCACATGTTCATTAATGAATGTAGAGCCAATAAAAACCACATTGTCAAAGAATGCTTATGGTATGCTTATGTGATAAGAAAAGTACTCATGATATGCTTAGTAAAGTCTTAAAAAGCATGACTCCACACCTCTCCTCTGGGCGCACCGCTTGCCGCGAATGACCCATGTCTGCATGTGTGTGGGGAGACGTGGAGCAAGTGGCGAAAGGAAAGGCACCAAATCTCTGTGGGAGATTTTTATGTTCTTTGTATTTTGTAGGACATACTTTATACTCTACAATCAATACAATCAATATCCAAATTACTGTCACAGTCAAAAGCAATACTTTGTTTTTGCTTTTTTTTTTTTCCCCCCCTCCCAAAAATAGCCAGGCAAGCCATGAGCTCCTTGCCCCGCCCCCCAACCCCAGTAGGCCTCACTGACCTGACTTTCTCCCTCACCTCCCCGGAACTTCGGGAGACTTCTGTTCTCGCTCCCTCACTGGCCCGGGCCTGCTCCTGGCCACCTCTCCTTCTCCTCGGCCCTGCCGCCAGGCCTTTGCCATCCGGACTCTCACCCGGAGCGCGCTAGGCGGCCTCAAGCCCTGTTCGGAGGAGGACGTGCTGCAGCCCACAAGCCCTTCCTCTCAGACAAGTGCTATTTTTCAAGGTTGCAAATTTGTAACCCATCTTGCATTTCCTCTCTCATCTCTTCCCAAGCACTTGTCCCCGGTATTTGGACAAAAGAACAGATAAACAGAAACCGAGCCGGTGTTTCTGCCTGCTTCCTATCTTGTCTCTAAGTCATTAAGCCCCTCAGCTTGGCACCCCTGCAGACCGAGATCATTCCTGGTTTACAGTTTTTGCTCACACTTTGCCGCGGCCCCGGGTAACCTCCGGCATGGCAGACCTCTTTCAAGGCCTCACCAAGACTCCTTCCACCACCCCCCACCAGGCTCTCCCCTGCCTGAACCAGCCCCCACAGTCTCTGTCTCTAGCACCATCTGTCTACCTCACTCATTATCTAGACCAGACAACTTGGCCCCTAGTAGGTTAGTCCCTAATGCAGTGAACCACAACATGGTCTTGTTTACTGAGCACTTTGGGGGTTCATCTTGAACAAGGAATCAGGAGCATGCATCTGAATCTTCTGGAAAGCTGGTTAAGGCCCACAGTGTCTGATTCAGGAAGTCTGGGGTGGGCCCAGAGAATCTGTATTTCTAGCAAGTTCCCAGGGGCTGCTGCTGGTGGTCTGGGGACTACACTTTGAGAACCACTGACCTCCAGAGACAGTTGCAAACTGGTGTCCCAAGGGCCACAGCTGGTTCACAGAGATTTCACATAAAAATCTGAATTTGCAACTTGTCTTAAAAAATCAGTATCTCTGTCCACACTCGGCCTTCCTTCCCATGGGGCAGTCACCCCTGCCTGCCCACGTGACCCCTGAAGTCCTACCCTCACTGGCCTCACCCCTGTCCTGACAACTTTGGCTCCTAGCAGGGAACGAGTCATAGAAACCACCGTGTGCCAGCCTGTCATGCATGGGCTCTGCCAGAAACCTTGTCCGTGGGTCATCTGCCTTCCCCCAGACCCAGACTTCCTTTAGATCTGCAGACTGACCACCAACTCCAAATTTAAGCCCCTTTTCAGCTGCCTCCACCCCAAGAAACAGGCCAGCAAACCGGTGACCATGGGGCCAGCACAGCCGTAGCCTCACAGTGGCTCTGCACCCCAGAGAGCCCCACGGCAGTACACCCCCGACCCTGGAAGGGGCTACTCCTGCCACCTCGCCCTCCAGAAATAAGACATCTCCAAGACAGAAGAGGAGGCTGAAGAAAGAGCAAGTGAGGAAGGAGCTCCCTTCCCGGGTCCCCGGCTGGGAGGGAGAGGGGCTGTTCCTCTCCTGGGGACAGCCCCCTTGTTCAGGGACAAATGGGGCTCGTCCACCACCCCACCCGCAGTGACCGAATCTAAACCTGTGCAGAGGCTTGAATAGCATCCCCCCGAAAATCCTTGTTCGCCCAGAGCTTCAGATGTGACCTTATTTGGAAATGGGATCTTTGCAGATAACATCAAGGCCCACCCTAAATCCAGTGACCAGGTGTCCTCATAAGAAGACACAGAGACACCCAGAGAGTGTCAGGACGAGACAGACACAGAGCTGGGTGATGCCACCACAAACCATGGACTGCCAGGTGCCAACAGAAGCAGGAAGAGGCAGAAAGGAGCCTCCCCTAGAGCTTCGGAGGAGGCATGGCCCTGCCCACACCTTAATTTTAGACTTCTGGCCTCCAGACCTGGGACAGAATAAATTTCTGCTATTTTAAGTCACCAAGTTTGTGGCAATTTGTTATGGCAGCCCATCCTTCTCCAGCACCCAGCCCCTTTACGAGTCCCTGACCTGCAGCCCTCCCTGCCTCCCTCCCCCCAGCTGATCCTTGCCAGGGCCTGCAGTCAGCCTCCACCATGCCTTCCGTTCCCACATCCATCTCTGGAACAGACCCTCATCACTTCCTGCCCAAATGGTTGCAACAGCATGGCCGGCAAGTAGCACAGACTGATCTTCCGAAAGTAGAGTAACTTCCAGTCACAATCCCATCCCCAGATCTTGAACCTTCCAGAGCTCCCTGCTTCTCATGAACTGGCCTTTACGGCCTCCCCATCTGAGCCCAAACTGGCTTTCCAGCCTGGCCTCTCACGGCCCCACTGCTGAACCTTTGCTCACACTGTTCCCTCTACCTGGGACACTGTCCTCACCTTCCCACGTGTACCTGTGTGAACATGGTCCACCTTCAAAACCATTTCAAGTGGCTCCTCACCCTTGTTGCCCCTCTTGCTCCTCGTGACCTGGAAGCATCCAGAACACTGGGTCTGGGTCCTTCTGCCTGTTCTGAATGCCCTGATCCTTTGCAGTCTCCCTCCACAAGGGCCAGCCCGGATCCCTTGCAGGATCAAACCCCAGACCTCATCCATGAGGCACACAGTTCTTAGCGCCTAACTCGGCGCCAGGCACTGGAGAGAGGGGCACAAACTAGCCCAGTCCTTGTTGCCATGGCAGTAATTCTCCAGTGGGCATGTGGGAGGCACCAGAAAAATGTGCTGAATTTGAGTCAATTCAATAGAATCTTGGAGTCTGAAGGGATCTTGGTCTGGCCTCCCACCAGCAGACTTGAGAGGCTTCTAGACGCTTTCTGTCCTCATTTCAACTTATTTTTCTTTTTACCAACAACACTGTTCTCTTTCTGCCTCTTAATTTTGTTCCATCATGGAGCGAGGGGCAGAGGAACAGGCTGCCTTCTCTAGCACCTGGCGGCGCTTCTCCCATGTGTCCTGGGGCCCACTTCCACGAGCTCCCACCCCTGGCTGGCCACACCCAGGGAGGCCAGAAATCCTCTCTGCCACCTCTGCCCCACCCCTGCCCGTGCACCCCAGCACTGGTGAGCCTGCGAAGGTGGTGCTGCCCCTTGCCCCCAGTGCCTGCCCCATTCCCTTGACCACCCACTGGCCATGCCCACCCAGCCCAGGACTCGTACCCCCCATGCGGGTCTGAGCTGGGGTTGGCTAGGGCCAGGGCAGAGGGTGGCCATGGGAGTCCTCAGGCTGTTAAGCTGGGAAGCATCTCAACTTCTCACCAGCAGGAATGGCCTGGCTGCCATGGTTACAGCAGAGCCTGGCTCTGGGCCAAGGCCTCCAAGGGCCGTCTCCACAGACCCCCCCCCCGCCCCCGACAAGTACTCACAGTGCAGCCGGGCGATTCCCCGGGGCATGGTGGTGCGCTGTGTCCCCCAGAGAGCAGAGGCGGTGTCCCTGGCCGTGTGTCTATCCACAAAGGCCCAGGTCGGGCCTACATGGCCTCGGGTCAGCGAAGGTGGCCCAAGGCTGGGGAAGAGCTGGCCACAGAGCAGCAGCCCGGCAGGGGGCGGCAGGTACTCCTGGGGCAGTGCCCGCCCTTATCTGCCTGGCCGTGTGGAGGGCAGCCGGGGGGTGGCAGCTGCAGCTCCCATGGCAGCCAGGACCTGGCCTGAGACTCCGGCCTCGGGGTCTTCCCTCTCGAGCAGGAGGACAGAGTCCCCAGCAGGCCCCTCGGAATCTGGGGCCGGGTTGTGCTTTCTCTGATTTCTCCGTCTGCAGCTGCTCAATGTGAAATCTGGCTCTGGAGGGAGAAAGGAGGAGAGAAACGGATTATGTAAGAGTAGTGCTGCCACTCAGCCATCAGCCACCGGCACTGAGAGTCTGTGTGCGCGCTGCACCCACTCCTGGCAGGGGGCCCTGGGGAAAGACCGGAGGCTGGCTACTCAACTGCACACGAGAAAGGACTTCGGAACATCCCAAGGACAGCACTGGCCCAGAAGTGAGTTACGATGACACCAGCTGACAGCCACAGGCCTCAACAAAAGCTGGACCAAGGAATGAATGGCTGAACTCGTTCAATCAAGGAAGCTTCCTAAATGAGGTGAGGCTGCATGCAGGTCAAGTACCTGAATGACTCAGGCCGCCAGGACGTTAAAACAGCAGCTCTCTCGGTGGCTTCCTCATGCACAAATCTTGTGGAAAGTGCCGAGTTCTTTGAGTACTGAGCCCAACACACATCCCAGACCCCCAGACCCTGACGGAGAAGCCAAGAAAGTAAGAAATGGGGTCAGGGTCACTCTCATGCCACGCTGCAGTCCTGAAGCTGGGCACCTTCCGTGGTTCTAGCCCTTGAGCCCCTCCAAAATGGAGGAAATGTGTGAAAGCTGAGGAAGACACCCAGTGGGAGTGACCCGGTGACACAGGAGCTAGAGCCTTTGGGGTGGCACAGAGAAAACCAGGCTGCTCCCAGAGGCCCGGAAACAGGGCCCCTTTCCAGCAAATGAGGCCGGACCAGTGGCCTGACAGCCGTCTGCCTCAGAGAGAGGCCTTCCCCACAACTAAGAGGGCACCACTCTCTTCCTCTCTCTCTCTCCCCTCTCTCATGGGGGGGAGGTGACGAGGTTGAGAACGTGCCTCTCCCATGCCACCCCTAGTCTACCCCATGGCTGACAGCAGGCATGAGGAAGCTCACACAGGGAACAGGTGTGCAAGAAAGTAGATGCTAGAATGTTCTGCATAGTTCAGTTGTGAATACTGTGTTTTAAAAATATATAATCACATTACTATTATTGCACATTCCCAAATCAAGAATTCCTTGTATCACCTAATACAGAATCCATGTTCGATTTTCCCCGGTTGTTCTTAAAAATTTTTTTTTTTTAAGTTGCATTGTTTGAATTGAGAGCCTAACAAGGTCCATTGATTGATGTGTCTCTACATCTTTTTTCCTTTCCTTTTTTTTTTAATATTAAGATATAATTCACATGCCATAAAATTTGCCATTTTAAAGTATATAATTCAGTGGGATTCTTTTTTTTTTTTTTAGTAGATTCACAAAGTTGTGCAACAATCACCCACAATCTAATTCCAGAACATCTTCATCACCCTCAAAATAAACTGTATTCATTTACAGTCTCTATTTCCTCCCCCCACCCAGCCCCTGGGGCAAGCAACCACTCATTTGCTTTCCGTCTCTATGTATTTGCTTCATCTGGACGTTTTCTATCAATGGAGTCACACAGTATGTGGTCCTTCAGGACTGACTTCTTTCACTTAGCATAATGTTTTCAGGGTTCATTCATCTTGTACCATGCAATAAACTAGTGTTCCCCTAAGTTCCTATGTTGAAGCCCTAGCCCCCATTGTGGTGGGAGATGGGACTTTTGGGAGGTAATTAGGGTTAGATGAGATCAGAAGGGTGGGGCACTCGTGATGGGATTCGTGACTTTATAAGAAGAGCCACCAGAGACGAGCTTGCTCCCTCTCTCTGTGTGCCCCCACAGACAAGAGGTCGTGTAAACATACAACGAGAAGGGGACCACCTGCAATCCAAGGGGAGAGTCCACACCAGAAACCAACCATGCTGGTACCCTGATCTCAGACCAATCTCCAGCCTCTGGAACTGTGAGCAAATAAATTTCTGTTCTTTAAGCTACCCATCTATGGCATTTTATTATGGCAGCCCAATCAGGCCAGGACATAGCATCTGTCAGTACTTCATTCCCCTTTTTTTTTCCTAATTTTTAAAATTTTTTTAAGATTTCATTTTTAAGTTAGCTCTATACCCAACATGGGGCTTGAACTCATGACCCCGAGGTCAAGAGTCACATGCTCCACTGACTGAGCCAGCCAGCAGCCCCTCACTTTTATTTTTTTTTTAAGTGTCAAACATTTTACTCTCTCAATTTTTTGCCCTTTTACAAGAGGATTTTACTGGGGCACCTGGGTGGCTCAGTTGGTTGGGCATCCAACTCTTGATTTTGGCTCAGGTCATAATCTCAGGGTCACGGGATCAACCCCTCCTCAGGCTCCATGCTTAGTGTAGAGTCTGCTCATCCCTCTTTCTTCTGCTCCTCCCCCTGCTCTCTCTCAAAAATAAATAAAATCTTTAAAAAAAAAAAAAAAGGATTTTATTATTTTTTAAGTAGGCTCCACACCCAATATGGGGCTTGAACGCATGACTCTGAGATCAAGAGTCACACACTACCGACTGAGTCAGCCAGGAGGGCCCCCCCTTTTTTGGGGGGCTTTTTAAAATAAAGTTAAATAGTAAAACAAAAATTCACAAGTTGCTTCCCTGTCCATCCCCTCCCTCCCTCCCACACCCGCAGTCTTGGCGCCAGTCCCCTCTCCTTCACCCACTCACACGGACCCAGGGGATCCAACGGAGAAAGCCAAAGTGCTCCAAGTACACGGAGATGCGGAGGAGAGAGGAGGTGAGCTGTGTCCACATTCAAGGTCACACTGAGCAAGTCCACACTCTGAGTTCTGGATGGTTTCCTCTCATGACACAAACTGAAAAAGGAAATTCCCCAGACCAGATGCTTCAAAGCTGAAGCCCCAGCACTGCCGAAGAATGCCAAAGAAAACGTGGTTGACATCAAAGTTACCCACACCTGTACCCTCCTCATCCAGGTCGTGTCCAGTGTCAGAGCGAGTCGTCTTCTCGGGATCAGTGAGAGCAAAAGCTTGCAAAAGCGTCTCTGACTTCCTTGACCTCCTCCTCCTCCTCCTCCTAAACTTCAGCACTGGCTCTCCAGTGCCCGTCTGCGTGGTGCTTCCAGGCTCGTTGCTGATAAGTTTTCTTGATCTCCTCCTCAGAGGCATTCATGTCCACTCCCAGAAACTTGTAGTAAACTTTCCTTGCTTTTCTTCAGCTCCAGCTGTGGGGTGTTTTAGCTGTGCATGTTCTTATGTTTTCTCCATCTGATACACTTTTCCACACTCCTGTACTGCTTTTTCAAACTGTTCCGTATCCATGTAACACTGAGCTTTTCCCAAGGAGGCTTTTAATTAAGTGGAATCAAGCTTCACTGCATTTGTGCAATCTTCGATTGCACCATCTAGTCTCCTAAGCTTGGAATGATCTGTACCCCAGTTACAGTAGAATTCAGCATTTGTTTTTATATTGTTGGGGGTCTGTCCCCAGGGCTTCTGTGTATAGTTCATACGCCAGTTTGTCATTTCCTTCTTCTTTCTCTGCTTTAAGTGCTTTGGCATTTCTGCAAGCAAGGGAGGCATTTCTGGGGTCAGGGGCCATCTCGAGAGTCCATACAAAAAAAACTGAACTACCTTCTCAATACGGTCTTCCTAATAACGGCAGAGACCTCATACATACAGAGCACAGCCATTGGTGGAATGGCACTGGCTGCAGACCGTGCTTCCAGATAATGACCCAACATAACTAAATATTCTGCTGTGGAGATTTTGAAGCAATGGCAGGCAGGACAAACTCTAGGGCCCAGTCCATGCAGAAAACTACTTTCCGAAAATCCTGATTCTCAAAATCTGTTCCTGTTCTCATGTTCACATATAACCTATTGTGCCTGAGCATTTCTGTGATCCAGTTCTAGGGCTCTCTGGAAATGGTGACATGCCGCCATGACATTCCCTAGAGATAGGGGGCATTTGCCTTCCCATGGATGTCCCCAGGACAAAACTGTCATTCAGCCTCACTGCTATGCATCTCCAAGAGCTTCCTGGAACCTTCTGAGCATCATCAAGTGGCTGCTCAATTCTAACTACAGCTAGCACTTTTAGGACACATTATCTAGTTCTTTTGTATAATAGTTACAAGCTTCACTGTAATCTTTCTTGGCATAGTTTGCATTTCCCTGTCCCTTGAAAGACTTTACTTCCCTCTTCACTGTGGAGCAGCTCTGGCTCCGTCGCCACCATTACCACATGGGGCTCTGCAGCAACCGCCATCTTACCACTTCCTTCTTTTTTACTGTGAAATAATATTCCATTGTGCGGCTACACCACATTTTCCCTCGCCATTCATCAGTTGATGGACATTAGGATTGTTTTCACGGGGCGGGGGGCGGCTATTACAAATGATATTGCTATGAACACTCCTGTACAAGTCTTTGTGTGGACATAGGTTTTTTTCCTTGGGCATGTTCTCAGGAATGGGGCTGCCGGGTCATGTGGTTAATCTATGTTTAACTTTCTGAGGAACCATCAATCTGTTTTCCAAAGCAGCTACACCATTTTATACTTATATATCCCATCCACAGTGAATGAGTGTTCTGATTTTTCCACATTCTTGTCAACGTTTATTATTATTTTTTATTATTATTATTATACCCATCAGTGGGTGTGAAATGGTATCTCATGTGGTTTCTACTTGCATTTTCCTGATGACTAGAGATACTGAGCATCTTTTCATGTGCTTACTGCCCATTTGTATATCTTCTTTGGAGAAATGTCTATTCAAGTCCTTTACCCATCTTCTAATTAGTTTATCTTTTTAAGATTTTATTTATTTGACAGAGAGAGACACAGAGAGAGAGGGAACACAAGCAGGGGGAGTGGGAGAGGGAGAAGCAGGCTTCCCGCGGAGCAGGGAGCCCGATGTGGGGCTCGATCCCAGGACCCTGGGATCATGACCTGAGCTGAAGGCAGACACTTAGCGACTGAGCCACCCAGGCGCTCCAGGATTTTATTTCTTTTTAAAAATCTTATTTATTTGACAGAGAAAGAGAGAGCAAAAGAGGGAACATAAGCAGGGGGGATGGGGGAGGGAGAAGCAGGCTTCCCATCGAGCAGGGAGCCCGATGTAGGGCTCAATCCCGGGACCCTAGGATCATGACCTGAGCCAAAGGCAGATGGTTAATAACTGAGCCACCCAGGCACCCTAAGTTTTTGTTTTTAAGTAATCTTCACACCCAACGTGGGGCTTCAACTCACAACCCTGAGATCAAGAGTCCTTCCCATGCTCCACTAACTGAGCCAGCCAGGCACCCCCATCTTTTTTTTTTTTTTTTTTAGTTGTAACAGTTTTATTTTAAGTATTTTATTTATTTACTTGAGAGAGAGCAAGCACAGAGGGAGAGGGAGAAGTAGACCCCCACTGAGCAAGGAGCCCGATGCGAAGCTCAATTCCAGGACCCTGGGATCATGACCCAAGCCAAAGGCAGAGACGTAACCAACTTAGCCAACCAGGCACCCCGAGTTGTAACAGTTCTTAATATTCTGGGTACTAGACTCTTATTAGATATATGATTTATAGAAAAAACACAGTCTCTTCAACAAATGGTGTTGGGAAAATTGGACAGCCACATGCAGAAGAATGAAACTGGACAATTTCCATACACAAAAATGGACTCAAAATGGATCAAAGACCTAAATGTGACACAGGAATCCATCAAAATCCTTAAGGAAAACAGGCAGCAACCTCTTCAACCTCAGCTGCAGCAACTTCTTGCTAGACACGTCTCCAAAGGCAAGGGAAACAAAAGCAAAAATGAACTCTTGGGACTTCATCAAGATAAAAAGCTTTTGCACAGAAAAGGAAATAGTCAACAAAACCAAAAGACAACTGACAGAATGGGAGAAGATATTTGCAAATGACACATATCAGATAAAGGGCTAGTATCCAAAATCTATGAAGAACTTATCAAACACAACACCCAAAGAATAAATAATCAAGAAATGGGCAGAAGACATGAATAGACATTTCTGCAAAGAAGATATCCAAATGGCCAACAGACACATGAAAAAGTGCTCAACATCACTTGGCATCGGGGAAATACAAATTAAAACCACAAAGAGATACCACCTCACACCAGTCAGAATGGCTAAAATTAACAAGAAACAGCAGATGTTGGCAAGGATGCGGAGAAAGGGGAACCCTCCTACAATGTTGGTGGGAATGCAAGCTGGTGCAGCCACTCTGGAAAACAGTACGGAGGTTCCTCAAAAAGTTGAAAACAGAGCTACCCTATGACCCAGCCATTGCACTACTGGGTGTTTACCCCAAAGATACAAATGTAGTGATCCAAAGGGGCACGTGCACCCCAAAGTTTATAGCAGCAATGTCCACAATAGCCAAACTATGGAAAAAGCCCAGATGTCCATTGACAGATGAATATATATGTGTGTGTGTGTATATACACATACACACACACACACACACACACACACACACACACACACACACACACACACACACACACACTGGAATATTACGCAGCCATCAAAAACCGAAATCTTGCCATGTGCAATGCATGGATGGAAATAGAGAGTATTATGCTAAGTGAAATAAGTCAATCAGAGAAAGACAATTATCCTATGATCTCATTGATATGCAGAATTTAAGGAACAAGGCAGAGGATCGTAAGGGAAGAGAGGAAAAAAATGAAACGACAAATCAGAGAGGGAGACAAATCATGAGACTCTTAATCTTAAGAAACAAACTGAGGGTTGCTGGAGTGGTGGAGAATGGGAGGGATGGGGTAGCTGGGTGATGGACATCAGGGAGGACAGGTGTTGTGGTGAGCACTGGGTATTGTCTAAGACTGATGAATCACAGACCTGTGCTCCTGAAATAAATAGTCATTATATGTTAATAATAAAAAATAAATTTTAAAAAAGATATATGATTTTTAAGTATTTTCTCCCATTTTGTGGGGTGTTTTTTCACCTTTTTGATAGGATCCCAGGATGCACAAAAGTTTTTAAATCTGATGAAGTTCAATTTATCTTTTTTTTTTTTTTTTTTTGGTGGTTTGTGCTTTTGGTGTCCTAAGAAACTGCTGGCTAATCCGAGATCACAAAGATTTACATGTGTTTTATTCTAAGAGTTTTATGGTTTTAGCTCTTCTATTTAAATCTGTGATGCATATGGAGTTATTTTTGTATATGGTGTGAGGTAAGAGCCCAACCTCATTCTTTTGTGTGGGTCTATCCAATTGTCCCAGCACCATTTTTTGAAAAGACTGTTTTTCCTCCATTGGATGGCACTGGCACCCTCACCAAAACTCAGTTGACCACAGACGCATAGACCGATGTGGATTTACTTCTGGAATCTCAATCCTATTCCATTGACCTGTATGTTTACCTCTATGCCAGTACCCCACTATCTTAATTTCCGTAGATCTGTGGTAAGTTTTGAACTCATAAGACTTTTTAATCTATGAAAGTTTACTTTCCCTTTTTGTTATTGTTGAAGAAACTGGGTCACTTGTCCTATAGACCTACCACATTGTGGATTTGGTTGATTGCACCCTTGGAATGCCATTCAACATATTTATCACTGCATTTCTTAATATTCAGATCAAAAAGCTTCACTGGGTTTGGGTAGGGTTTCCACAGGAGGTACTGCCTTACAGCAGAAGACACAAAATGTCTTCTCATCCCCCTTTAGTAAGCTAATGTCATGTTCTTTATCCATGATTCATCTATTATACAGTTCTCCGTCAGCCTTTTATCTTTCATCAAACATTGATGATTCTAGCCCTCATCCAGTATTCCATTAGTCAATCCAGGTGGTGACTTTCTGCTTCTACCTTTCCTTCTACGTTTATTACTGTGATCCTCCTAGAGAGGAGACCGTTCCCTACTCATCTGTTTTCTTACCTCAAAGTTTGTTCTGTAGAGAAAAAGCAGGATAACAGTTTGCTTCGGGACGCCTGGGTGGCTCGGTCGTTAAGCGTCTGCCTTCGGCTCAGGTCATGATCCCGGGGTCCTGGGATCGAGTCCCACATCAGGCTCCTTGGTCAGTGAGGAGCCTGCTTCTCCCTCTCCCTTTACTGTTCCCCCTGCTTGTGCTCTCTCTCTCTGACAAATAAATAAAAATCTTAAAAAAAAAACAAAAACAAAAAACAGTTTGCTTCTTTCCCTTGACTTATGTACCACTTTTCAGAATGAGTTCTTCCCTAGAATCCTCCAAAGGTAATGAATGATGATTCTTCAGTATCATTTTGAATTCATTCATCTTTTAACTTACATATTTCAACCCATTAAAGTTACTTTTGAGGCAGGTTTATTGAGGTAAAATTGATATACACTGAAGTTCACCCTTTTAAGTGTACAGCATGATGAGTTGTAACGAATATACACAAACATATTATTCTAAGACCTGGAACGTTTCTATCACCCCCAAAAACTTCTCCTGTATCCCTTTGCTGCCAATCCCTTTCCCCACCCTATACCTCTGACG